ATGAATCTCCTGTCCAGCACACCAGCCAAGTTATTCAACCTTTTTTTAAAAACCTCTAGTGATGGGGAACTCACTACCTCCCAAGGCAGCGCATTCCACATCAGGACATGTTGAACTCAGTAGAGTTTTTCCTGACATCAAGCCTAGATCTTCCTCCTTGCAACTTCTTCCCTTTGCTCCTGGATCTCCTCTCTGGGGCCAAACAGAACATCTAACCATTATTTCATGTGACAATCCTTCAAATATTCAAACAAGAGTGAACCCTCTACGAAGTAATGAATTCTAAGTCTTGAATGCAGCCTGAGATACTCCCAGCTCCATATCCGGTCCTGATGCTTTTGTCAATATGGTTCCCAACCTTACTCTGACCAATGGACTTTGGCTCAGTAGCACGCCCTCCCCCAAATCATCCCTATCTGTAACAATCAATCATAAGCACCTATTATGTGTCAGGCACTAGCTGGACGCTGGAACTATAGCTAAGGTGAGGCTGAGGTGAAGCAGTCCATGTGTCCAATGAGCTTACCCTCTACCAAGAAAGACAATGTGTACACACTTAGGTCTATAGATAAGATATATAACACAGATAGAGACAAGGCAATTTGGAGGAAGGTGAGGAGGGGTGGATCAGGAAAGACTTCATGCAGAAGGTGGCATTGAAGCCCAGCCTTGAAGGAAGCTGAGACATTTGAGAGGTGGGAGGGAGTAGAAAGGAGGAAGCTTCCAAATGTGAGAGACAGCCAGCGAAGAGGTGTGAAGACGGCGGAGGGAGCGCCAGGGAGTGAGGAAGAGTTCGACTCTAGCCTTGGTGAAGGGCAGGAATGTCTAATAAGATTAGAAAAGTTGGATAGGAAGTGGTTGGGAAGATTCTGAAATGCCAAAGATAGTGTATATTTGTGCCTGGAGGTAATAGGGAGCCAGTGGAGTTTGCTGAGTAAGGGAGTGATCAGTCCTGTGCCTTAAGGAATGTAAACACAAATATAAAAAAGAGTGAAGGAAAATAATAATAAAAAAAAAGAGTGAAGGATAACTAATGGCCACCCCATGGGCTCCACTGATATGCTTAAGAGGTCCCAAGAAAGCAGGTGAACTTGGACCCTCTACCACACTCTGTGCAATCTGGCTATCATCCCTATCTCCTCTGCAGTGATGGACTCTGCTCCTGAGATGTCTAGCTGGTAGGTGAGCTTTGGCCTCATTTATATTATTATATAAGGAAGGCCAATATATTATATTGGCCTTGCTCCAATCTGGTCTCTTCTTCCAGTCAGCTCCATACCATGCCATCTTCCTCCTCTTTCTAGCTCCCCTGTATATATTGTTTTCCCCCTTTAGAATGTAAGTTTCTTGAGGGTAGGGACTGTCTTTTTACTTGCGGGACTTAGCACAGTAACTGACACATTGTAAGCACTTAATAAGTGCTTGATCAATTTCTCTCTCTCTCTCCAATCATCTATAATCATCTATCTATCTATCTGAGTCACACGGGATAGGCAGGTGTGGATGGGTCCTGATCGTCATCATTGGAGGAAATATCCATACTCATGAGCTCATGTATCCAGTGCAGTATTAGAACAACGTAAACAAGCCAGGTGACCAAGCGTAATGGAATTTCTTGATATATATCCTGGCGTCTGATAATTTCAAAACTTTCCACTTCAGTAACATGTTGAGACATGAAAGCCGATAAAGAAACAGCTGTTCTCGCTTGAACATTTGAACATGCTGTTACTAACACAGGTATCCCAATAGGGGTTCTCTCAGTAGACTGGCTAGGATTCATTGGCTTCAAGAATCTGGTCTTATTTTGTCCAGTGGTTAGCACTCACTCATAAGAGGACTTGGTGCCCCAGTCCCAACCTGACTCACTACATGACCTTGGGAAAGTTTTTTCAGTTCTTTTCAACTTCATGTCCTTCTTTGTGAAAACAGGGCTAATTGAAGCCTCCCTGTCAGGAGTGTGGTGAAGTGGAACCAATATAAATGACTGTGGATGGTGGAATGGTTCAGTTTGGTTTGGCTGAGTGGAAAACATTGCAGACACACTGAATTGGAGCACCTAGTACTTACTGAATAGTGATAGACCACCTGGTTTCCAAGATAAGCATTCACTGTAAACTCCTGTGTAGCAGGGACAGCCAATCTTTCCTTTCCTCAACATGGGGTTATGCCAGAGAAATGCATGACTCCTCCTTTCCCCCAAAAATGTTTCCAGCAATAGGCCCAGGTTATTTAGATAACTCCACCCAGATACCCCAAGAAAGCATTAGTGAAGTCTGAGATTGCTACAGAGAGGCTAAGTCACTCTCTGGAGTCTCTATAACTCTGGGAAATGTGGCACGCTTGGGAATGAGAGGAGAGAATGATGAAGAGGAGGGAATATTAAGGGTAGCTAACATTAATATAGCACTTTAGATTTTGCAAAGTACTTTACATATATGATCTTATCTGAACCCCACAACAACCCAGTGAGGTAGATATTATCCTCATTTTACAGATGAAGAAACTGAGGCTGAAACAAATTAAGTGATTTGTCAAGGGTCACACAAGCTGGTAATCAATTAATAAACATTAGCGCTCATTTTGTGCCATTTACTGTGAAAAGTGCTAGAAAGCCAGCAGCTAGTAAGCATCTGAGGCAAGATTTGGACTCATATTATCTTGACTCTTGGTCCAAAACTCTAGCCACTATACCATCTAGCTCTCTTTGTTTTGTTTTTGTTTTTTTGGTGAGGCAATTGGGGTTAAATGACTTGCCCAGAGTCACAGAGCTAGTGTTACATGTCTGAGGCTGGATTTGAACTCAGGTCCTCCTGACTTCAAGGCCAGAGCTCTATACACTGCACCACGTAGCTGCCCCCCCCCATCTAGCTCTCTTTTGAAGAGAATATCAAATTGTAATAAGTCACCACAAGCATATATGGAACTGAGGACAGAGACCTCTATCCTCAATAAGGTGCAATGTGTTGTGGTTTCTTGAGATCCTTGGAAGATCTTTGGATTTTGGTCCAGGTATCATAGGAACTCCAATAAAAGACTGGAGAAACAGTGCTATGCTTTGGGCTACTGATGAAGTGGAAGATTCTGGAGGAAAACTGGTCCCCTGGGAAAAGGGATGACTTCCACCTGCTGGTGCCTGAGGAGAACTACAGGAAATGAGTGATGCAGACTGAACAATTTTGGTTGTTGAAAGGGATCCATGACAAAGCAGCAAATGACCTCCATCTATTGGGGGCTGAAAAGAACTGCAGGAACTGCTGCTCAAAGAAAAGGCATGCTTTCCTGTAGTTGACTTTAAGGTTACCATTGAAATTCAGCACCACGGAGCAGGTAGGTGGTGCACTGGATAGAGCACCCACCCTGGAGTCAAGAGTACCTGAGTTCAAATCTGGCCTCAGACACTTGACACTTACTAGCTGTGTGACCCTGGGCAAGTCACCTAACCCTGATTGCCTCCCCAAAAAACATCCAGTGTTTCCTAGATCCTGTGATCTCTTATCCCTATACCCAGAGCAGAAAGATAAGATAAACCTGGGAGATCCTGAAGCCTTGGTCTGAAAGTCTATCTTAGATAAAATTCAGAAGCTGTTCATTAAAGGGAGTTTTTAAAGGGAGTTACAGTAAAAGGGACTGAAATAAGGCCTGGTTTAAATATAGTTAGAGAACAGAAATTAAATAGGTAATCATAGAGAATCATAGGAAATAGGACTTCAGACGAAGGGAATTACAGATTAGAGCAGGAAGGTCAGAGGTCACCCAGTACAAATCCTTCATTTAAATATTCCTTATTTTTTTATTATTATGAATTTGAAAAATAGTGACAAATACAAACATTTTCATACATAAAGAACATAAGAGGATTAAATATGAAACTGCACATCTGTTACATACAGCTTGTTTTTCTTTTTTTAAGTATATAACAAATTCACCGTGTTAGTTCCAAAGTTTTCTGGCTTGTGTCTGCCATCCCCTGAATTTCCTTCAGTGAATTTTAAAAATATCTCACTGGTGTCCTTTTCTTTCTTTCCTTCTTTCTGTTTTTGCTAGCGGGATCTGAGCACTTTTTCAATGATTATTGATGGCTTGAATTTCATCTTCTGCAATTTTCCTGTTCACATCTGTTAAGGACGGTTTTTGTTCTCATACATCTGAATCAGTTCTCAGTCTGTTTATCTTGCATGTCAGCTCTTTGTCAGAGAAACTCGTTACAAAGAATGTTTCCATTTAACACTCTTTAATTTGAGTTTATTTATGCAAAAGCTTTTCAAGATCCACCCCCCCCCCAGCCTTTTCTTTATAATGTAAATGTGTTTGGGCAAAAGGAGTTGTTTTCCCAGGTTTCCCCCTTTTAAACCCTTCCTTTACAGTTTGATTTTGTCTTTGCTAAAGCTGTTGGAGATTTCCCCAGTTAACCCTTTCTTTCCTAATCTGATTTTGTTTATACAAAAGGAGTTCAGTTTTCCAAGATTCCCCTCATTTTACCCCTTTCCTTTATAATTTGATTTTGTCTTCAAAAGCTTTTATTTTTTTCTAAATTCTCCTTCCCGTTTAACATTTTCCTTTATGACTTTGGCTGAATTGATTTTGTTTCTGCAAGTTTCCCCCAGCCCTCGCCGACCTCATGTAATTAAAATTGTCCGTTTTATTCTCAGCGATCGATCATCTGCACCCCTGGTCGGGTCCCGCGCCCAGCCATAAAGGCGTCCGCCTCCCTGCGCCTCTCGTGCTGCATGACCTGCCCATTGCTATCTATCTCGCAGGTGGGCAAAGTGAGGCCCAGAGAGGCGGCGGCGGCCCCAGCTCTGGCTCTCCGGCCGCCCTCTCGCACCACCCACCTGCCCGGGCGCGGGTGCCAGGGCAGCTATCGGAGGCCGGCAGAGCTGGGCGGAGCCGGGGGCGGAGCCTGAGCCGGGGGGCGGGGTCCAGGCTGGCAGGGAGGGAGGGCTGCCGCCCACTTTCTGTCGGCGGACGAAATCTGCCGGCTTCCGCGGCGCCTTTAAGGTGCGAGCAGAGCTGCGGGCCAGCGAGCGAGCAGGGAGGCCGGCCGTGGGGGAGTGCGCAATCGGGGGCGACGCTCGCCTGCAGGAGGTGAGCGGGGGCCCGGCTGGGAGGGGGGCGCCCTTGGCCTTGCGCCTGGAGAGAGGTGGGGGCGGCCCAGGAGATGCCCCCTGCCCGCCTCCTGCCCCGTGGGATGCCGGGGCTGCTGCCCACCCTGGGCATCGCTCTTCATCCCACGGGTGCAGAGGGGGGTCCTTTCCAGTCCTGGCATCGCTTGAGCTTGGCGGCTCAGCTCATCCGAACTCAGGGATGCTGCCGGAGGGAGGCCTTCAGCCCCGGGCTGTCGAAAGCTCTGGCCCCCCACCCCCACTCCGTGCTCTTTGGCACCGGCAGCTCCTCCGTATCTCCGAGGGTCACCCCTCTCCGCGGGCTTCCTTAGTGCCTGCCACTTTGGTCGGGTAGCCGAGAGTGGCTCTCGGCACGGGAGCAGGAAGGAGGAGCGAGGCTGCTGCAAAGGCAGCATCCCCGGCGGCACCTGCGCCCAGGATTGAGCGCTGGAAGAAGGAACCCTGGAGGTCATTTAGTCCAACCTGCTCATTTTACAGATTAGGAAACTGAGGCTCGGCGAAAGTAGGAGGTGATTTCTCCAGGGTCACGCAGAACGTTTGTAGTATCACAGTATTTTAGATTTAGACTTGGTCCCAGCCCCTCGTTTCACAGTTGAGGAAACTGATCAGGGTCCCTAGAAGTGAAGGGCTTTACAGGATTTGAACCCAAGTCTTCTGTCGTCAGCACCAGGGAGTTTATTTGGAGTATGCTTAACTGCAAATCTCAGATTGGCCGAAGGATCTTTCTGGTCATCAAGTGAAATATTAAATATTAGTAATGAATTAACCCCTTGACAAATGCTGAGGGCGGGTGGTATACCAATGGTCAGAAAAATACTATTCCGAGGCTTTTAGAAACCTCGCCGTTGGATACATTTGTTAAAGGGATTCCAGATGGATTTTTCGCCCACCTTTCCCCATATTATGGCATTCATAAAGAATACAGTTCGGTACACTCCACCAGCACAGTTAGTCATTCAATCAACGAATGTTTATTTAGCATGTTCTTGTGTGCCTCCACTGTGCTAAACCCTGGGGATTGGAGTAGAAACAATGAAACAATCCCTGCTCTCTCGGAGTTTACATTCTAATGGTGGGAACAATTACGTATACAAACATATACCGCATAAATAGAAAGTTAATCAATACCCATCTCTACAAAGTAGTTCAATACAAGGCAGTCAAGTATGGAGGAGACTAGCACTGGGGCACTGGGGGAAGGCTTCACCTAGGCAATGGTGCTTGAGCAGCGTCTTAAAGGAAGAGACTAGATCTCTGAGATACATCCAGTCAGTCAGTCTGTTAGTATTTATCATTTATTCCAGGCATGGGGCATGATCAGGACAAAAGCACAGAGACTAGGGATGGAGGATCCTATCAGAGGAACAGAAAGAAAGACCATTTGGGCCCAATCACAGAATGTGAGAGGAATTAACTACTGTCCAATGAGGTCGGAGAGAGAGATTGGCACGAGCTTGTGAAGGACTAACCGGGACTTTGTATTTGATGCTAGAGGCCGCAGGAGGGGACCATTGGAGGTGACCGAGTGGGGGAGTTACATGGTCGGATCTTTGATGGAGGAAAATTACTTTGAGCAGCAGTGTGTAAGAAGGACTGGAGTAGGTTGAGGCTTGAGGCTGGCTGAGCAGTTAAGAAACAATTAACAAGAATCTAGGTGAGAGGTGATGAGGACTGGAATTAAGGTGGTAGCTTGATGGGTGGAGAGAAGCCATCAGATACAAGATGATGCTGTGAATGTACCAACAGGAAGCTTTGGCCACTGTGTGAGATGAAGAAGAATGTTTCTTAGTGGAGTGGTGCCTGTGGGCCCAGCAGTAAGCTACTTACTGTAGGAGATACTGGAAGAAGCTAAGAAATTTGAAGAAACTTGTAACCTAGTTAGAGTCAGAATTTGTTTACAGGAAACTGCGAGGGGACCGTTGGGAACTATAAAGAGAACATTCCTTGCACAGGACGTGACATGTCCTACCTGGCTTTGTGTATTGTTTTTACCTACAACAAAGTGTCTGAGGCAGAGCCAAGAGTCAAGCTGTTCAGCTTGGATGGCCTTGGCCCTTTGGTCCGGGGGATCAAAAGACCCGTTTGTTAGTGTTTGGGGTTGAAAACATAGAGAAGAAAAAAAGCAAGTATTGATTTCTATAAAAAATTTTTTTGATGTCTTTGTCTTTTGTTTTTACGTTATGGTCATTTCCTGATAAACATCACCACCCCTTCTTGAAAAACCGAAAAGGGAAACTGACTAATGGATTGACTGACTGCAAGAATTCTCTACTGTGGTGAAGCACCCAGGTGGTTCAGTGGGTAGAGTGCTAGCCTTGCAGTCAGGAAGCCCCCAGTTTGAATCTTGCTTCAGGTATTTACTGGCTGGGTGACCCTGGACCAGTCACTTAATCCCTCTCAGCCTCAGCTTCCTCACCTGTAAAATGAGGATAATAATAGCACCTACCTCCCAGGGTTTTTGTCAGGATTGAATGAGGTAACACATGTAAAACACTCTGCAAATCTTAAAGCATTATGTTAATGCTAACTATAAATAGCCTTCTATAGCACTATTATTGTCCCATAGCACTATTTATTATTATTATTATTATTATTATTATTACTGGTAGTCCTCAACCTTCTAACAAGAGGGAGCTCAACACAGATTCTGTACTTTGAACTGAAAGAGACGTCAGGGGCCATCTGGTCCAATGCCTCGATTTTCCAGATGAGGAAACCGTGGCCCAGGAAAGTTAAGGGGCTTGCTCAACCAAAGTCATACAAGTAGTATGTGTCTGAGGTGGGATTTGAACCCAGGTACTTAGAGCAGAACTGGCGCTCTTTTCACATTCTATTTTGCTTCCATCATGTGTTTCCTTACTTGTTGTCCAGGTTTTGATTGGTCATCATTACAGTTAATTAGAGTTTAGCTGCCTTTTAGACACCTCTGTCTAGTCATCTTTTCTGTTGTTTTCCTGGTTCTGCATTCTTGGCTCTGTATCACTCCATGGAAATGTTCCCATGCGTCTCTGAATTCCTCATTTTCAGCATTCATTTAACCACTTCCCAATCAATGACACTTATCTTTTCCAGTTTATTTGCTAATATAAAAAGGGTTGCTATGCACATTTTGCCCCATTTCTTACAAAGGCCCTTCTTTCTGTCTTTGCCCTCCTCGTGACATATACCCTACAGTGAGTCACCAAAGAATGTTAGCATTTTAGGGACTTTCCTTGAGTAATCCCCAATTACTTTTTCCAAAAGAATTCTCCCGCTTCAGCGTTCCACCAGCACTTTATTATTGTGCCTGCTTTCCCACAGCTTCTCCAATATCACCTACTTCCATATTTTATCATTTTTGCTGGGTGAAACCTCCAAGTATCAACACTAATTTCTTTATTAACAACCCACCCAGAACAGCTGTAGAGTAGTAACAGTGTCAAAGGCTTGTGGAAGGATAACATCCAAGTGTAAACAATTCTAATGGTCTTTCTTTTTGAATCTTTGATCTGAGAAAATATGGTATATTGTCAAGTGCTAAGTCAGGAGAGGCTTGGGGAAAACTCTTAAGGAGGGCTCCTAAGAGGAGAAAGTGAGAAAGGAGTATGTTCTAGGCACCAAGACTGCAGGGGTATGGAGATGGGAGATGATGGAATGCCTTATATGAAGAACTGAAAGAAGGTCATTACGGCAGGGTCAAAGTACATGAAAGACAGAGATGTGTAATAAGATAGGAAGTGCTTTAAAAGCCATATGGAGGATTGCATAGTTAATCCTAGCCATGAGAGGAAGTTGCTTCATCAGGGAAGTGACATGGTCAGATCTGCACTTTAGGAAAATCATTAGGGCAGTGGAGTAAAGGATAGACGGAAATGGGGAGAGACCTGAGGCAGGGAGATCAATTAGGAAACCAATTCAGTAGACTGTAGAGAAATAATGATGGCCTGTGCCATTGGGGCTGTAGAGGACATATTTGAGAGGTAGTGTGGAGGCAGAGATGATAAGATTTCACAACTTCTGGATGTGTGGAGTGAGAGATAGGAAGGAGTCAAGGGCAGCACTGATGTTGTAAACCTGAATGACTCAGTGATACTGGAGAAATTTGGAGGAGGGGGGAATAAAGAGAAATAAACACTTATTGTTTGGTTCTACCCATTTTTCCTGGTTCTGCCCTTTGGGGTCAGATGGAATAAGTCTAATCCCTTTTCCGCATGGCTCCCTGTGAAATAACTAAAGTAGTAACTATGTTCTCCTAAGTCTTTTCAATTGAATTAAATAAATATTCATTAAGCACCTACTTCTGTGCTAGGTGCTGAAGATAGAAGGCCAAAATAAAAAATGGTCCCTTCCCTCAAGGAGGTGAGTTGAAGAAAGGGGGAAGGGATACGATGTGTACAACTTAATACCAAGTTAGCTGATATAATTGCAGGAGAAAGGCAGTCCTGGGCAGAAAGACTCCCTGCAGGAACTGGCATAGGAGTTGTGCTTTGAATGGATTCTAAGGTAATGAGGGAGAGCATTCCAGGTATAGGGAAGTGCCTGTGCAAAGACCTGGAGGCAGGAGATGGGATGTCAAGGTCAGAGATTAGCTAGCAGATCCATTTGCCAAGCGAGTAGTATGAGATAAGATTAGAAAGGAAGATGGGAGCCTGATTGCTTTTGAGGACTTTAAAAATCATCATTTAGAGACCGGGGCATAGGCAGGTTAGCCTTTAGGCAATAGGGAGCCTTTGAGGATTGTTGAGTATGTATGTGGAGGGTGAGGGCACGAGTAGGAATGTGAAAAGAGATGAGTAAGAGCATTTAAACAGGGAGGATTTGTAAGAGATGAGTAAGAGCATTTAAACAAGAATGTTGTTACAGAAGCCAAGGGAGGAGAGAGCATCCAGGTAGAATGGGGGCAGGCAACAGTGATGAGAGGGCCCAAAGATCACAGAAAAGGCCTTTGGATTGAGCCTTAAGAAATCATTAGTAACCTTTGAG